AGCTTCATATTTTAGTTATCATTTATAAACAATGGCCTAATTTCACAATGATGATTGGTTGAAATTAAAGTATTAAATTTTGATTATTGCAGATGCTGGTGAAGAAATATGAAATGTCTTTTTGAATCTTACAGGGAAGCTTAGGGTTTTGCGGAGGTTCACTTATTTGGAAGCTTAAGATTGTTCTGTAAGTTAGTAATACAGATATACACAAGAGACTGAAAATTGTTAAAAAAATATATCATCAGAGTCCTAAAAGCCTTAAATTATTATCAAACTACCGCTTTGGTCGAAAAAGCATGAATATTCTGTACTATCAAATCAGCTGCAACTCAGTGCGGATATTACAAATAATACAAAACGAATTTCTTAACCCTGTAACGGCGAAACCTCTATTAAGAAAGAGAAAAAGTGAGGTAATCCACCCAGTAGCTATTACAAAGTGGATCTCTGAACTAACCCTGGTGGAAGTCAATGGTCAAGTTGATTATACTTTATACTTGAGAAGTTTATTTTGACAAGGCAGAGCTAAATCTGAGCTACCGTTAATACATAACCAGACTGGGGGAAAAAAAGGTTGAATCGCCTCCACGTGTCTTTTTCAGACAATCCCAACAATAACACTGGCATAAAGATCAAATTTGTTATTTCAATGTACATTAATTGCAGAGAGAATGTGATTAGAGTGGAGTCCACGTACCATCCAATCCGCGTTAGCTCGTTAGCTCAGCTGCTAAAAGTTTTGTTTACCTTGTAAATGTGGCGATGTCATGTATCAAATTACATAACAGAAAACGGAATAATGCATGAAATGCCCCATCAAATTGGCTTTGAGTTGTTACGCACTTACCTCTTGAGTTTTTAGCCAGTCCGTGACCGTTTTCGCATCCACTTTCTTATACAGAAGACATTCCAAAAGAGCCGCCATTCTGCTCTGGTGATGCGCGGCTGCAGGACTGAGATGCAGTGGGCGGGGCCAGGGTCTGTGGAGAAGACGCGTAGAGACGTAGTGCATGTGACGCGTAGAATCACGTGTTCGTTTATGAACGACGAAGACGTAAAACTGTATTTTCCAGGAACAGTTCTTTGAAATATTGCATAATAATTCGTTTCATATTTCACTTTTTTTCGACAAACTGGATGACACTATTTTTGTACTAACCCAATGCAAACACTCTTAATATCGTATGTGTTTAAAATACTGACTCAATATTACTGTACACATAAGCATGATTGTTGACGTAAAATTCAAAGATCCGTGTCAACTAACCGCTAGATGGCGCCAAACTCACACTGTACCTAAAAGGCGCAGTATGGAGGTATACAACTGGTTGCAAGTACTTAGTTTGGTTCGAGCTTTTTGTGTAAAAGATTAAACTGGTACCTGCTGAGCTACAGTACTTTTTTTTAAAATCTAGACTTATACCATTATCAACATTTGGTTGAGGGAAGCAGAAACTTTCTCCAGCTCCTGTATGCATGCCGAATGAGTATTTATTTATAACCAGTTTATAAAAATAAAATACAAAATAATTTCAAACAAAACGGAACAAAACACTGTACAAGGCATTGATATGATACAAATGATATAATTAACATAAATAGTTACAGTTATGTACAAAGCGAAATTTCCACAGGTTACATTCTCTCCTTGAGTCTGTACAGATACAATTAAAAACCAAAGACTTAGCATTACTTAACATAAAACTATCCAACATTAAAACAAATAAAGTCAAAGTAACGAATGGGTCTATTAATAACAAATGTCACAATAAATAATTTCGGTCATGTAATTATAACTTATCACCATATGACTCAATATTATGACATGAGACGTGTAGATATATAAAGAAAGTAAGTTTCAGTCTGACCTTTCAAAATAAAACACGGCGTTTCTTCTTCCTGGTGTATCCGTTAGCAAAAATACCAGCACAAATATGACACCGGGAACGGCAACAATCCAATCGCTAAGGTTAAAAACAACACTACAACTACACACCCATGTAGTGCAATAATACATTAAAAAATAAATAAATGAGACAGATTCTGATTATCCGTTAGAACCAGCAGCTCCGTTCAATCATTTCGCCAAAGCTTGTTAGCACATATGTAACTGTTACACAAGAGTGGTTTAATTGAAGTGTTTTGGGGTTTTATTTATTTGTATAAAAGTATGCATATCATAATTTTGAAATTTAAATGCTTGAAAATCGTACAGAGGAAAGTTGACAGATTAATTAGTCGACGCATAGAAACCACTCCCTCCTGTCCGAACCAAGCACACGGACATGTTGAATACTACAACATGGAATCATGTCAATATAAACAGTAAATTAAGAAGAAGAAAATAATTCCCTGGCGCTGACATTAAAACTAGGAATAAAATATAATTAGACTGTGACTGTTAGACCAATTAGACAAATGTTATGGGACTTTTTGTTGCAGAGCATAAACATATATCCAAAATAGAGAGACGAAGAGCAAAGCATTTTTTCTGAAGGATACTTTTAACCCAGAAGTTGCTTAAAGTGAGCTAATAGAATGAGCCAAAGGTTGAGGAAAAAAAAAAAGCTTTACATTACTTAAATTTAGTCAAATCATTATGGAAAACATATATGTCACGAGATTATCAAGAGATGGGTAAATATTGGCCAAAAATGCTAATAGTTAGCTGTAAAACATGGATAATTTGTCTTAAAATAACTAGAATGTCCCAGCAGAGGCTAAAAGTAGATACATTTTTTCCAGACTGGCGAAGAGGGCCATAATTGAAGGATTTTGTATTACCAGACACAGCCACATTGTCATAAACTATTTGTCAGTGAAAATATCCTGCATAGCAACAAGTGACAAACAGAAATCAAAAATATGGACTAAGTAAAATAAATGTGATAACAATGGCTTGAAATACCCATCCCTAGGAGAAGAAAAAAAACATCATCTCTGGTTTTAGTGTTAACAGTTTTGGCAGCACATGCCAAATTACGAACAGGAGATACACAAGTGACAGATAGGCTTGGCTCGACTCTATATTAGTGGAATGATCTCCAGAACAGACAAAGCTCAGTCATCCCTCACTATACACAGAGGGAGAGAAGGAGGAAGAGAGAGAGAGAGAGGCAGAGAGGCAGAGGAGGGAGGAGACATTAAGGCGACTGACTGACTGAACACTGTCTGCCTCCAGGATGAGTCATCATAGCTGCTCTGTGAGGCTACAGTACCTGCAGCATCTGCAAACCCAAACAGCACATTCAACACCTCGGTACACTGTCAAACCACATCTGCGACATTTATCAAAATATTTTTGGCAATGTGATTTTTTTTTTTCTTTTTTACATCATCTTTGTTCGCCATAAATTACACAGGCTACAGCTGCCAAATGCTTTGAAACACAGCAAAGTCTGTTATCTTGTCTACATATTATCTGGTCATCTGTTAGTGCAGAGTGTGTGTATATACGTACTGTAGTTGCACTGTTAAAAAAAAAAAAAAAAAACAGCAACGTAATCAACCTCCGTCAGTGCAGGAAGTGCCAAATCTGCCCTCACACCTCAGGTGGGAGGCAGGAAATATTGAACATGGACATGTACAGGAATCACAGGAAATGGATGTGGTATTTTAGAAGGTAAAATGCGATGGTGTACGCAGCTTTGTACGTCTGTCTTCTGTTTGTGTCACATGCAGAGAGTGTTGATGAGAGGAAGCTGCAGATATTTTACAGTATGTTACAAGCACAGGAGTGAGAGGAAGGAGTGCTGGAGGAGAGGTGACACGGGGATTCACAAGACCATAATCAGAATCATCTGCATCGAGTGTACAAACACACAGTGTGTCAGTGTATAAAAGACATTCAGCGGTGCATAGAAGCAACAAAAACAGTTTTAATAACTTTGATGCTGACAAATGTATCGTGTAGGCAAAGTGCTGTTTAAAGGTTTAAAGAGTATTCAGAAATTAACTCTGAAAACATAATTTAACGCACACAAGTTTTATGTGCCACTAGAAATGTGATTTTTGTCACTATTATAATCACATCCCCATTTTATGCAGCTCTTTGTGTATCTACAGCAGTACAGTAGGCTCTGCTCCCATCAATGAAATAAGGAAGAATATTGTTGATAATTCAATTTTTAATTTGCATTTTGTAGATAATGATTTTACTGGGGCTGTTGAAATTAAGTACATTAATTACATTTAATTAAATTTTAAATTTCAGATAAATATATGAGTACAATTCAACACATGGGCTGAATGAAGAGCACTGCATATCTAATCACTACGCAGTCAAATAACAGGTTGTAATTTGTGCATACTGAGCGAAAACGTTTTGGTTTCACTGAAGCAGCTCAAGCTTAAAATACCATCAACCTCAGGTCAGATGACTGGCCTGAGTCGGAGCGGTCTCACCGAGCTCAGGAAAATAAGGAAGTCTGTGGCTGACAAGTTGACTGACACAATTGTCAAATGGATTGTGAGGATTGATAATTCCATCATTTGGATTAGTCACACATATAAAAAAAACAGGTGTGAAACACATACATCTACTAATCCTGTGTTTCATCAGATTAAAAATATGAATGTATTGACAGCCCAAGTTTTATACTTTAAAGAATCGCTTTGGTCGTTAAAGGCCATTTGCAATCTCCCATAGTGCACCACTGCACATATATAATGTTCATTGTGATCTCCAGGCTCACTACTCCACCTTCTACTACCACTAGTGTTAGAACTAGTCACTTATTCTAATGATCTCTCAGCATCACAGTAGGAACAGAACAGTGCATTTTCTCACACACTTTCAAACCACTGATTGTTTCAAGGATGGCGTACTTTATTAGATTTTATAAAATTAAGTAGGAGGAGAACTACTGACCGTTGCCTCAGCATCAAAATAAATACCCTAATAAATACAAGTGTACACAGTAATCCAGGCTGTATGCATTGATTCATGCATAGCATATAAAGTAAATATCATTCTCTACCTGCTGGCTTCAGCTCAGCAACCCAGTGCATTAATACTGAGGATAAATAATAGATAGTGTATATATAGTGAGGAGCAGGATGATCCACTCAGTAGCTTGGACCATCCTGCGCCACAGGAAGTAGAATAAGCAGAGAAAATATTGATCCATAACGAACTTGAGATCTATGTATCCTGGGAAGGGAACAGTAGCTAGCTGTTAGCTCTAGGCCACGATAAGACACAGAGGTAGAGCTAGCCTTTAGTGTCCATTTCATCAGTGCTCAGAAATCCGTTTGTTCAGTTTTTTTGTTTATCCAATATTTATTTAAAATCCTTAACTATCACAATGCTTCTTAGTTTGGTATACGTCACCAAGGTAACCAATATGGGAATACTTCATGAAAGAATACAGCCATTTTTGTTGGAAGCCCCCCGATGGCCTGCAGTGGTACTACAATACTAATATTTTTAAGAAACAAAAGAAAAAGAGAACAGTTGCACAACTGTTTATGAGCCATCTTAATGTTTTCTTCTGCCGCTCACTAAATCAATGGAATTCTTCTGTATTGCTAGAAAAAAAAAAACGACAAAAAACTGTGTGCAAAGTATTACTGGGAAGTGGTAACTTACGGATGTTGTGTGTTTACTTTGAACACAAGGCAAAAATATTCATTTGACAGTGGTAATGACGATGTGCGGCGTCGTGCGAAACAAGTGCGATTCCAACTGACTTCAAAACTTTGCCTCAGTTTTGCTGTTATTTTCAAGAGTGTTTTTCTCTAACATCATTCTCGACCATTCTCACAGCAGATAGGAACGTTCCACACCACAGCTTGGTGGACGGCAATAATGAAAACCTCATGACAACTCCCAGGTCGTCTGGTCAACCAGGCCCTCTTCTGGAAATCACCCTGTGAAATGTGCAGCAACACAAACCTGCAGCCTGTACATGTGGAGGGGACGAGGGGAGAGTAGTATTCAGACTTTGACAAGGTTAAAACCAGGAAAGAGGATTTTTCTGATCTAACTATAGAAGAAGGCTCAGGTTTTCAGCCTGACTTTTGTTTGATATAGAGTTTTCCTCCCATCCTCTGCTGTGGAGACACGGCCTGGTGGGCAACTATCTGCTCATCTTGGTGGAGCACTTGCCCTCCCTGCTGCAGCCTTTCCCCCTGGACAGGAAGAAAGAGCCGGCACGAGCCTGCCTACTGCAGCAGGTCTCCTGGTGATGGGGGTAGAAGCGTCGACAAGGCGGCGAGCCGGAGAAGCTGGGAGGTGAACGGCTGCGGCCAAGACAGCCTCCTCCTCCTCCGGCTGCTCCTCCTCCTCCGCCACGGTGCTCGTGTCGGGAAGGTGAGGAACTGACAGAGCGCTGCAGGGAGGAGGAGCTACGTGGGGAGGCGCTAGAGCTGCGGTGGTGGTGAGGAGAGCTGGTCAGGCTGCACATGCCCATCCTGGAGCTCCCGTGCTGGGGAGAGTGTCGGTGATGGAGCGGGGAGCCACGAGATCCGTGCATCAGCTGAGCAAGGCATGACAGAAGGTCTGAGTCACTGGTGCTGCCGGCTCGAATCCGGTAACGCCTGAGCCTGAGAAACAAAGAGTGATGAGTATGAAAAATAATAAAAGGAAAATGAGACAACACAGTGAAAATGATGATGAGTGATGACATCATCAACAGATGTAAGATCAGAAGCATGTATACTGTCAAGTCAGCCAGTTTTAAAGGACTTTAAGGCAACAATAGTTATAAATAAAATAAAAATGCCGCTTTGAATCAGTGCCGTGGATGCAGTTCAACCAATTACCTGCCCTCTACTGTGCCCCGGCACGGTGGCTTTCCAGGAGGTGGTCGGGGCAGGAACTGTGCAGCCAGCTGCTCAGCTGAAGAGGCTGAGTGGACAGGGCGAGGGATACGGCTCTTGCGGGACAGAGGGCTGGAGGACGAGGACAGGGACGGAGCATCATCTCCTTGACGATCGGAGGGGGAGCCCATGAGCGAATCCTCATCCTGAGAACGATCAGAGGTGGACGAGAGCGGGTCTTTTGCCAGGGAGGCCACTAGGGGGCCACGTCTATCAGAGAGGGAGGGTGATGCAGTGGGAGACGGGACAGGGCCTTGGTGAACGGCTTTCTTCTGCAGGAGTTTCTCCTTGGCAGAGCCTGGAGGTGGGAGTTCTAACAGGCTGGAGGGCTCCAGGACTGGGATGCGACTCTGCCTGCGGGTGGGGTCCTTATGGGGGGCAGCTGGAGACGGGGAGGAGGGGGTTAGGTTACTATTCTGATCTAGAGCTTGGGTCAGCACTCCACCCTCCTCTTGATTTGGCTCAGACTCGGTGGCTGATGGAGCGTGGCAAAAATCCTTCTCCAGATCTTTGGGCTTCTGGGCAACAGAATTATTTTGATTCTTTTGGCTGTTTTCATGAGAGGAGTTGTGGCCACTGGCAGAACCAGGACTGCAAGGTGAGTGAGGGGATCGAGGAGAGCGCGGGGACTTCGGAGAGGAAGACGAGCAGGGAGAACGTGGGGAAGACACGTGGCTCGGCACGGGGCTTGGAGCCTTGGTGTGATTGTCTCCGTTGACCAACGCTTCAGCCAGGGGGTCCGTGGGTGTCCCTGGGTGTGAGGGAACGCAGTCAGTGTCCACTGTGTTCTCCTTATCCTGCTGAGCCTCAGTCTCAGCTTCAGCTTTGGCATCACCTCGCCTTTCCAGAAGGAGGCACTGTGGAGCGCTGTCCGATCCTGACTGGGAGGACAGAGCCGAGGGACGCTGAGCCGTCAACTGAGGAAGAGAGGAAGGCGAAGGCACAGGAGGGAAGAAGAAGAAAGAGACAAGAGTGTGTTATTAAACATAATAAGCCACAGGGTCAGTGAGAATATTATTCGTGTTGTCATTGTGGCTTGTTGCTGGTGGACTACAACAGGTCCAGTTGTGCTGTAGCTCTGCAGCAAGAGCCGGATGCAGATGTGTGAGAAGAGAAGAATTTTCTGTTATGTATATTATGGGTTGATCAATGGTGATTAGTTGTTTTGGCAAACAGCATGCAAGACCATAGCTACCATCGTCAGACACATAAAGTGCTATGGCAGTGTCAGTCAAGCTTGTGAGTACAAAACCGGCAAGTAGAACAGGAAACGTTCACGCAACTTGGCAGGGGGCTTCACCGAGGAGAGGGTGAGGAACAAATACAGGGAGAGAGAGAGGAAGAGGAAGATAGAGAGGACAAAGACGATCTGAAACAAAAAGACATCATGCAAGCCGTCGTCATGACTCCACATTCCAAAACACACATGCCACACAATCAGACAAACACCAACCCACCACCCTCCTCAACCCCACCCTGCACTCTAGTTCAGATCAGCACAAAGACACAAGGACACGTCTGGTTCATGCTCTGTCTGACCTGCACACTGGTTTCTGCCTGACAGCAACACAACGAGCAAAGCCAACACAACAAACAGGGCAACGGAAAGACAAAAAAAAAAAAAGCAATAAAAATGGAAAGAGCCCATGTATGATGAAGAGGATGATACAGTTTAGGACTAAATGTTTAGCCTTCCTAGAGAAACTCGGCTTCTGTTAAGGTATTTCCCAAATGTTTTAAAGCAGAGCAAAGGTTTTTGTGTAACAAACTTCACTGAATATAATGGCTGAGCATTTATACTTTTTTATGCAGAGGTGAAACGATTAGCTCATCGTCCTTAATAGTTAGCTGTTTCTCATTTCTGCACTCGTTCACTGTATTTTAGTTTACTCTCCTGCTGGGTCTCAGCCTGTTTCGCTACAGTAATTCTCTCAAGATTTTCCAGATTAGATTATCTTCTAGCCTGGATCCTGGTCTTTAGAGATTGTGTTCCAGAATTAAGTCAGGGGTTAAAGCAGACCAGTTAATAACATTTACCCCAACCTCCTGGAGACACAGTAGGTCTTCACCAGTGTCCATGTGCTGTTTACTGTTGAGTTCCATATGTGACGAAGCGTTCTGGCAGCCCTTTATTCCTACGCCCATCGTTTCCTTCTAATCCTATGGTTAGGGAGTTGTAGTTTTTCCTTCACTGGACCACATAGTTTGTCTACGCTCGGTGTCTCCTTTCTCCAAGTTGTTCTTGGCAGATTCAGTCTGACCTTAAAGGTGTCACAGCAGAAACCTGGGTCTTTCTTGGTCTGAGCTTCACAGTTTGTTTAGTGACAGTTTATTTCCAATTTTCTGATGCTTCGTCAGGTACTGTAGGCTGCCTTTTCACTCTTATTATTATTTTGCATGTAGTGTAGCAGTTATCATGTGTGCCTTACACACAGAAGGTCGTGGGTTCGAGCCCCAGAGGAACCACATAACTAATGGCGCCTCCTGTGGTAACCTGTGTGCGTTGCAAATACCTCATAACTCCTTGCTCTGTAGTACTTTGTAAATACTTGGATTGAAATACTCAGAGGGGCTAAAAAAATAGTCCCCAACTGTAAATGGAGGTGTGGCTTTTACTGTGATGAACTCATCACCTGCTGGAGTTGGGCACGTGTGATGCGTATGACAGAGGGGAACTTTGCGTTGGCGGCGCCTGCCGGAATAGCAGGGAGTTTCCTACGAGTGGGCGAGCGAGCTTCGGGGACAGGGTTTGGTGGTAGTGGGAGGGAGGCGTGGCAGGAGGAGGAAGAGGAGGGACGTTCCTGCTTCTGCCGCCGCTGCTTCTGCTGCTGCTGCTGATCGGCCGACTGGCTGCGAGTCAGGGCCTGTGTGTGGCGCTGGTACAGCGGGTCTGACAAGGTCAGGAGGGTGTGAGGACTGGGAGAACGGAGAGGGACGGGGCTGGACGTCCGTATCAACACTTCCTCAGGCAGGGACGGAGGAGAGGTGGGGAGCTAAGAGAGGGGAAGGAGAGAGGGGGGATGTGAGACTGCTGAGGGGGTGAGAAGATGAAGGAGAAGTGGTAGGAATGTTCTGTGGTGGGAGAAACAAGCAGCAGGAGATGCAAACATATGGAAAGGCCATGTTGAATGTCTTCAGAGCTTTTCTTATAATCCCTGCTCACGTTCATGTCAAATGTTCTGACAGCTGTTGTCCTCCATCTACTTCTACTACTTTTATAAACGTTTATAAACAGAATTGTATCTAATTTTCTTGTGACATTTCTACATTTATTTCAAACTTTTGTTAAACATTTAGTCACTGTTTGCTGTATTTTTCTGCCTCACTATGTTTTGAATCAAATCTTGAATTTATATTCTTGGCTAACAGGTTTAGCTAGCTAACTAGCCTTTAGCTTTGTAGGCTGTAAGTTATCATTGGGGTGATTTTGGTTAGTTTAGTTTTGGATGATTATTTTGCTATTCTAGGCTAAACAGTGATGCTTTTTCTTAGAGTTCACTGCTTTTTAACAGCTCTTTCTATTTTTTTATGTTGTGGAATATTTTGCCAGAAATTCAGTCCTCAGTTTTGGAGGAAGTAGTTGACCCCTCGTGTATTTTTACAAAATTAAACGGGGAACACCTTGAAAAAGGTTTTGTCCTCTCTGCTTTAAACCAAAAAGGTTGAATGACAGTATATGAGCATTGCAGTGGATATTTGGGAAATTTAATTTTTATTGGGGGAAAATAACAACAAGATAGAGGTATCTACTTTTGGAAGAAAATTCAATTTTAAGGAATTTGATTTTTTTTTTTTAATTAAATGGGCTGGTTGAAAATAACAAGCAGAAAGAGAAGCAAAAAATAAAATTGAATAAAGCAAACCCAAGTTCAATTTTGAGAAAGAAACTGCAGTAAAGTAAATAAAAGAAAAGTAAAAACTTTGCAATTTCTAGAATAAAAAATGTGAAATCAAATGCCGTTCCAACCAAGGAGCTCTCCCTTTGACCCATGCTGTGATGTGATCAGCTCTGCAGTTGTGTCACTACACAGTACCCTCTAGTTACAGATGTACACAGGTGGAGATGCAAGCAGACGTGAAGCAGTAACATTAAGCTTCAAACTACAGCAGGATGCAGCTGGTGGAACCTTGATTGTTACATGACTTCTCTGGAAGTTCTAGAGCTAGAACTCTGACTCTGTGCAGCTTTTTAACTCTGTAAAATGCTGACTGACGGTCAGTATCATGTATGTCATGTTGAGAGATGACCTTCTAGGAACTTACCTGAGTGAGAACGCCCTCAGCCAGAGCCTCGGCCGGACTGGTGGGAGTGACAGGCGGCAGTGTCCCCGCGGGGCCCACACTTAGCTCTAACTTGTCCACTTTTGTAGAAGACACACTTTCCTGTTTGGCTTTTCCAGAACTCGGGCTCGCACTGCCCTTTTCCCAACCAGGAGACTGTTCCTCTGGCTGGAGCACTTCTGGCTCCTCATCCTCCTCCTCCTCTGATGGACTGGTGGTAGCTTTTCCTCCGGGGGAGCCACCTGGTCTCTCCACCATGACCCACTCCCTTGAGTCAATGTCCTGCCTCCCAGAGCTTAAGTTCAGGGCCACGAAGCCCCCACTGATGGCCGCCCCCTCTCCCTGTTCCATAGACGCAGGAGACGCTGGTTTAGGAGAGCCTCCACCAGACAGGAACTCCTCGTCGTAGTGCCACACCCTGTCAGGACGCTCCCCAGCAGGTGCACTTTGACCCTGAGTTACTTTGATGATGGCAGCTGCGTTGGTCTCCTTCTCCTGTTGTGGAGATCCAGGCTTTGTTGGACTAAAGACACACAGAGGGAGAACAGAAAGAAATCATTAACTCTCACTGGAAAATATATATTTCAGGAAAAAGAAAAATGGTATGTAGTCATGGAAAAGAAATATTACCGGAAAAAGAAAAATGGTATGTAGTCATGGAGAAAAATATTACCGGGCCTTAAAGCCCTAAGACAAAAAAAATGTAGCCAAAAAAAAAATGTAGCCAGACGTTTTATCAAAAGGTTCAATAAGATCCAAAAGGTAGAGAATATAAGAATTGGTGAAATTACAAACTTCTAGAAAGAAAACCAGTAAGTGATAAAGTTTTTATTATAATGTTAAGAGTGCAGGAACAAAAAAGGAAGGAAAGACATTAAAAATTAAACAAACGTAAAAAGAAAATAGAAATCAAAACAAAGAAGAAAAGAAAGTGCGAAAAGTGAAATGAAGAGAGAAAGAAACAAAAAGAAACACAGAAAGAAAATGAATAAAAGAAAACAAAAAGAAGAAAAAACAGAAAGAAATCCGAAAAGAAGAGAAAAGAGACAGAAAAAAAGGTAAGTTGTGTTTCTATAAAGAAAATGAAAAGTAATAATTCAAGGTAAGTTCTCAGATGTGGCTGTGATCCACCCACCAGGCTTCCAGAAACCTCTCTGGACTGGGTTTGGACTCCAGACCCAGCCTCCTCTCCAGGTCGAAGCTGTGGATGTTTCGAAGTTTCCTCAGCAGAGGACCATCACGGTCTGAAGCCATCACCTCAGAGTGGAGTTTAACAGGAGAGCCTAGACTTGGTCCAGTGTAGGGGCTCGGAGGTCCTTGGTTTCCCTGGTTGGTTCTGTGCTCCTCCTCTGTCGCCCCCTGCTGGAAACAGGTCATTTCGTTTTAAACACTAAATATTAATTTCAGACAAAACAGAAAGAAATCCGCTCAGGGTTTTAGGAGTGTGACCAGCGTTACATTATTTTCCTATCAAACCTTGATACTTTTCTTTGAGTGCATTTTAGCTAGTTGCAAGCTAACTTCTTCTTCTTCTTCTATGAGCTAATTCCAAGCTAACTTGCTAGATGTTACGGCTAACGTGTATAACCTTTTTTTTCTAATTCTTAGTATTTTTCATCACTTGTAGCTATTTTGCTGTAACCTAATCAACTTCTACTGTTGTCTGCAACTCACTGAACAACTTCTGCCTTCATTCAGGCCTGAACCACAGTTGGTGTATCGTTACGTGACGTCTACCTTCCACACTGCTGTTCTGATACGATTCCGGTTCCGGTCCAGCTCCTCCCAGACGTCGGCCTCCTGGTTACGGTGTGGGTGGAGAGGAGAGCCGGGCAGACGCTCCGGAACGGCGTTGTTCTCCACATCGCTGAGCTGCTCGTCCTGCAGAACCTCATCCGTGTTCTCCCTCATCAGGTCTCCAGGAATCAGGGAGGCGTTGGCCATCCTGACACCACATGCAGCACACGTGTTAACACAAGTCATAAACAGGAAGCTAGCTTGTGGATGGTAACACAAAGAGAGGCACATATACCCCATATGTGCAGGAGTGAGGCGGGTGTGATGCTGCGGTGTGGTGGCGCTGGCGCTGATCGTCAGTGTTCCATCTGTACCGGTTCTTTCCCAGTCGTAGGGGTCGTTCTCCACCACGTTGTAGGTTTTCATACTGTTGTCGAACACCGACATCAGCAGCTGAAAAGGGAAAAAAGTGTAAATATTCATTTTTTTAAATGTATTTCTGGTGAAGTTATAATTATGGGAGTACGTTTTCCCTTCTCTCCAAATACTGTATGTTAATTTTTTTCATATGATCTCGTGGGCCAAATATAATTACACCGTGGGCCAGATTTGGCCCCCAGGCCTGAGTTTGACACATCATGCGCTAGGAAGAACGTACTGGGAACTTCACACTCAGTTATCTGCTTTAATTAAAGTAACGTACTGGGAACTTCACACTCAGTTAATTAAAGGTTGATCACAGCATTATTTAGCGCTCACCAGACTTACCACCTTATTTTATTTCTTAATTGAATTCAATCCAAACATACCTGATAATCAGGCTTGGTGAAATAATCCAGGTTGGCGATGTGGTCCAAAAACACAGCAAACTCTGCAGGCAGATGTTTGAGCATCAGCCGATGGTCGTATGTATCCTTCAGCTTCCCCACATGTTCCTGTGGTTAAACAACCGCACACACAGAGCTCAGACGTCACATCTCATCTTTCACCGTCACCTCCTGCACAAGGTGGGACATGGGTCACTGCGTCTCCTCACCTTGTCTTTGATCTTCCTCCACGGCAGCTGACCCACCAGAAACTCCACCAGCATGTAGAAGAGGGACCACAGGTCGTCGTGACGACCCATCTCCTGCAGATTTACAGCGTCAGGGAACGTCAATAACTTTGAACCAATAATAAGGATTTGTGGATGTTAAAATGCAGGCAGCACCGCAGGAAGTCGTCACCTTGTTTTTGTGAGCGTTGACAGATGCATATCTCACTGTTCCTCTGAATCCTGCCACTGGACGAGGCTGAAATACAAAGACACACATGTCCATGTCCAACAGCTCACACAGACCTACTAGTTTATATTTGTATCTGTTGAAACACCTAGTTAGATCAAATCCGACTGAGAGGAGCGTCACTCACAGGTCGGACCTCCTGGCAGGAGTTGGTGAACTGACGAGCCAAACCAAAGTCCAGCATGTAGCAGGTCCGACAGGTGCTGGGGAAACGACCCATGGCAAAGTTGGACTGAAGATTGAAACAGTGATGTCAAAAAGTTAATGGTTAAGAACTAATTTACTGACATCCACTACAGCCAGTCTCTGCTGACTCACCGGTTTGATGTCGCGATGCAGGAAGCCCACAGAGTGGATGCTCTCAATGGACTCCAGGATCTGACGACCCAGACGCAGGGTGGTGCTGATGCTGAACGTGCCCCGGCTCATACTCCGTCTGAGGTCGGCGAGGTTACGACCCTGTGTGACCATGTGTAAGATACTTCAGTCAAAATACCTCACAGGACTCTGAGCTTCAACAGTCATCAGTCCACAGTATCTAGAACAATGGTTCTCAAACTGTGGTACGAGTACCACCGGTGGTACGTGAGCGCTTTGTGGTACGTGTACCACTGGTGGTACGTAAGCGCTCTCTAGTGTTACGCGGAGAAAATTCATATTTTTTACCTTCACATTTTCAATTGAGTAAATCTGAAACATACCATGCACAATGAACACAACATTTGAACATAAACATCTTTCTAAACATTTCTAAACATCTCTCCTGTGGTGGAAGCTAACAGTGAAGGCCTCTGCTGCTGTATTCTAATGTTGGTCATCATTGTTTTCTCAGGTGGTAGAGTAGAAAAAGTTGGAGAACCACTGGTCTAGAGTGTTTCCAAACCTATTTATGGGCCATTACACATATTCTTATGCACCAAGTAAAATGAACCATAAGATATTGTATGAAATGAAATACGATGAACTATATACCTGGGCCTGTTTAGTTGAACACAACTGTGATATACTCACAGGGATTGAAGAAAGACAAAACAAACAAAAACCTATTCTTCAACAGTCTCTCTCTTTCTTTAGTTTTTATAGCTATCTGCTGGTATCTTGTAGAAATATTTAAGAGTATTTAATTGGTCACATTTAAATACTCTTCTACAAATCACCAGCAAATTCCTATTACCACTATTACGGACACATTTCTTTTTGTTGTTGTATGTGTTGTATCTGAGTGTGTGGGTTGCCACCTATTGGCCGATCAAAAAAATAAAAATGACCTGTCAAAATAAAGGTTTTATTGAAGAAATTACCGTAATAACAATAATAATGCTCACTAAACCTGTCCATCCCACCCACGATGCTATGTTTACGGGACGGTGTCCAGTATTTACTGCTGTCCTTTGGTCGTACCTGAAGCTCCATAACCACGTAGTTGAAGCGGTCGTTGCGGCCACAGCCCACGAAGCGACACACGTGGTCCTTACCTGAGAAATAAATCACAGAGTGCAACATCAGTTGGTGGTTGGATGGAGACGACTGCGTGAATTGGTGTGTGTGTGTGTGTGTGTGTGTGTGCTGAAGTTTCAGTGCCCTTCTCTCCCCGAGCCCTACAGCTCTCATCCCTAATCACAACACTGCTGATTTATGCACTGCAGAGAACAAAGACACATGTGCATTCATGCACTGTGTGTGTGTGTGTGTGTGTGTGTGTGTGTGTGCACGTGTGGTCTCAGCGGACAGTGCTGCATTGCCAGCATGGCTGTGGCCACACCCCAAAGCCCTTCAGCGTGTACCGGAGTGAAGGCAGACAAACCTTACATGGTAGAGTGTAATAGGGTTTAAAAACATGTGTATATTCTTTTATTAAGGCCCGAAAATGTCACAACCAAACAACAGGAGCTCGCTGCGACCATCGCTCTTCCAGTGTTTGTTGTTTACTGCTGGGCGGGTCAGCGACTGTTTGTGGAGGCTGGAGTTTTCAGCCCAGCTCAAGTTACATGAGGAACACATGATGCCCCAGGCTGCAGTCATTAGACAGAAAACATGATCCAGGGACATTGATTTTACCGTCAGAGGGCAGAAAAATAGAAGGACTGGTGGTTAAGAAGGGCAGGAAGAGAAAGAAGAGGAAAGAAGAGGAGAAGAGAAGAGAACAGAGGAGAGGAGAGGAGAGGAGAAGAGAGGAGAAGAGAGGAGAGGAGAAGAGAGGAGAAGAGAGGAGAGGAGAAGAGAGGAGAGGAGAGGAGAAGAGAGGAGAGGAGACGGGAGGAGAGGAGAGGGGAGGAGAGGAGAGGAGAAGAGAGGAGAAGAGAGGAGAGGAGAAGAGAGGAGAGGAGACGGGAGGAGAGGAGAGGGGAGGAGAGGAGAGGAGAAGAGAGGAGAAGAGAGGAGAAGAGAGGAGAGGAGAAGAGAGGAGAGGAGACGGGAGGAGAGGAGAGGGGAGGAGAGGAGAGGAGAGGAGAGAAGAGGAGAGGAGAGGAGAGGAGAGGAGAAGAGAGGAGAGGAGAAGAGAGGAGAGGAGAGGAGAGGGGAGGAGAGGAGAGGAGAGGAGAGGACAGTGGTTCAGAAAGAAGACAGAACGGCGGAGGAAAACTGGACGAGCTCTTCTGTTGATCTGGTTTCTCTCTGGTGAGAGTGTAGTGAGTTCATCAAATGTATCTGTCATGTTGGAACATCAGCTTCATCACAGCCTCAGCATAAATAACTGATTAAACGTATGATTCTTTGGCTGCTACTTGTTCTATTGTTCTACAGCATTAAATGGTTACTCTCTATGGGGTTTATTAGCACCGCAAAACAATTTTTCTCCCAGTCACCAATAAAGAAATTCAGATTCTGGTTTAGATTTAAGAAAACAATAAATAACTACTATGACTTCAGAAACAATGACATACTTTAAAACCTGGAACTGACCTTAAAGTCCGCCCCACACAACAGTCCTACTTGGATTTACTTTGGCATCAGGACATCCACAGTAAAACAACAGGTTTTAAATTTTTTTCTCAGTCTATTATTTTAGAATAGTGAATTGGAGAATACATTTTCACTCTTAATACTAATTAAAATAAATGTCACATCACTTTGTTTTTTGTTTTCTCACAAACATTTCCATAAAAAGGTTCAGAAATAATTACCGTTATGGATTAGGTTCCACTGATGAAACTGTACTCAAGTAGAGTGTAAAACAACAGGTATTTTTTCTGGCTGCTAAATTTACTTTTCTTGCTCACTAAATTCATTTTTTAAATACAAATTTTTAGTGCAATATGTATATAATTTTTTCTGGCTGCTAAATTTACTTTTCTTGCTCAGTAAATTCGTTTTTTAAATCCAAATTTTTTTTTTTTTTAATTTATAATTCTGCTAGTATTCGTTATATTCTGAAGTTTTATTCCATTTCTACTAGTGTTCTGGTTCAGACCTGAAACAGAAGCTCTACTATTCCTTTACCTACACATTTGATTTAATCATTTTAAAATCTCCTGGTGACAGGACAGCAGCGTCCGTTCAACTTCTCCCAAACTCTACAATGTTCAGAGCCCAACATCGTTGTGTTACTGGCTCTCAGCAACGTTGTGATCACAATAAGCCTCGTGGTGTGTGAGGTCTGACGTTATCAGACGTCAGCACACTAACAACATGTTACACCTGGCCTCAGATGAAGTCGTTTAACGTTCCCGTCTCCATCCTTTCATTTCTACCACCCTCCACATTTTCCCGTGCCAGGCTGCTTTGGCTTATATTTGTTCGGCTCTGATTAATTTCACAGGAATTATTGACAGCAGGTTGTTCAGTTCCCTTCAGAAAGACACTGATACGCCGGCCACAGTCCTCTGGAGCAACTCAATAGGTCACACTGTGCCACGCTGCAATCAATCAATTCCAGAAACATAATCCAACGAATTCATTTCAACTCACCCTGGAGCTTCTTCAGCACGGCCACCTCCATCTTGAGCACTTGTTTGGGCTGCTGCGCCGACTCCACCTTCAGAGCCACGCTGACCCGTGTCAGCAGATCCAGCGCCTCGTAGATCTCGCCAAACCCTCCACCTCCGATCTTCTTCACCTATAGAAAGAAAAATAGGACGGCATACATTTTTTTTACCAGTCACTGAAAGCATGTCCTGCCTTCTCTGGGATGCCAGGCATCAAGGTCAAAACCAAACCAAACTTCTCTGAAGTTGATGGGGATGAGCGTTTGTAGAGATTTCTTCACTAATCTTTACATTAGCTTGCTACGCTACAGTTAGCGGTTCTGATCGTCATACGGCAGGTTCTTTTCTAATGTTAGAAGAGAGCATCGTAGATCTGACACAAGTTGAGGGGTCCTTTGGTTTTTAAGTTTACATATTAGGAGTAATACCAGGTATTCATAGGTAAGGAGGACATGGAAATGGTTGGTAAAAATGTGGACATGGCAAAAAGTGATCTGCTGTGGAGACAGAAATGCAGCAGCTAAAACATATGATAACCTCCTCACTGCCCCTCCTCAGTAAAACTCCTCCAGCTTTAATTTGCCCTCACGTTCTTACGCGACCTTCACTGTCCTCCTTAAGATGTAAAGTCGTGGGATTAACTGCAAAGTTCTTACGTAACTGGGCTCTCCAGGAGACAGGAAGTCACCAGTAAGGAGTAAGACCTCCACATGGCACACATCCAGGCGGGCACAGCAGCAGGAAACATTGGCCCCCGGGGGCAACACTGTCACATAGCCTGACTGTAGTGCAAAAAAAAAAACTGCACCATCACAAATAGCTGTACGGGCTATTTTTAGTTTTCCCTGCAGCAGCACAATATGGACAAAGACACAAACTGTTCAAGCCACAGGTGAGATTGTGAAGTAAAGGGGAAAGCATTGTTTCACGAACAATGAGTCGCAGTTTGGAGGCCAAGAGGGGAGGAGGAGGAGGAGGAGGAGGTGGAACCAGGGACAGGCAGTGACGGGACAAACAGAGTTGGCATTGTTGTCAAACACCGCGTCACTCACCACTTTCCATCGCTCCTTGACCAGGGAGAGCACGCTTAGGATGTCAGTTTGCTCCGCTCCCCCGCTCATTCCGCCTGCCGACCAGGGACGATGTCCTCACTGCTTCCCCCCCTCGACCAGCAGCTTCAGAATGGGACGGGCATTTGGACTCTGATGGAGGACACTGCAAAAACAAACAGCAAAAAAACAAATCAAGTGAAACATAAGTCTAAAGGCACTCAAACAGATGGAGGGGTAATCAGATTATTCCTGGCAGAAAGTGGACGACAGTGATGTTATGTAGAGATGTGTAATAATATGGAGAACAAAAAGGTTTCTGGTGAAATGTTCAAGTCTCTCCGAGAGTTGAGAGACAAACTTAATCCCCTGTCTTATCGTTTGGACATTTCTGATGCTCGACCATCGCTGCAGCTGCCGCAGCTGTTGCCAGCAGCTGTTTTTGTTCTCCACCACCACCACATACCAACCACTCAGGGACCGTCTGCCTCAGCTCTAACATCACACAAGACTACGATTAATGGTGCACTTCTCCCACTCATATATCTGTGTAATATGACAGCCGATGATAAGGCACCGTAAGATCATCCTCCAATTCTTCATGTTTCATGTTTAACTGATCGGTTCTGTATCAGTTACCAGTGACTCTCCACTGTTACCAGTGTTAGTCTATAATATCAACTACAGCACCACGCAATCTGTCCGTCTGAGGCGAACATCTTAAGTTGGGGAGACACCAGTCGAGATTAAGGACAGGTTTCAGCCACTTCCTAAAAGTAAATATTCTCAAGGACAGTATGTTGACGCTAACAGGAAGTCGGCCATCTTGATTTTTACGAATTCTTCTTTTCCAAAAATCATTCTACAAAGTATATTATGACTTGAAGTTATCATTATCGAATTGTTCTTTTGAGACATTTCTTATAAAAACGTGTATCAGACATTTTGCAAATACTGATTGGTTCGTCTTTGACGTGACAACATCTCTTATTGGCCAAACAAGAAACAGGGAGTTGCTTTGATTTCCTGGTCCTTGAACCAATCTTCATAGAACTTTAAATGTTTGATCTGAGATCCAGCCTCAAGACATCAAGGTGAATGTCATGCCTAAGTCACATTGTAATAGCGCCACATGGTGGATAACATAAGCAATACACGAAATACATATATTATCCATACCTTATCCATCACTGTCAATCTAGGGCCATACCTTATCCATCACTGTCAATCTAATGGATTTTAAATTCATGTTGACTTCTAAAACATTAAAGAATTTTTCTCTCAACTTGTCAGATGATGTTTTAGATGTGCTATGTATCACAAAAAAATCAAAAAAAAACATTAATTAGTTACCCCTAACATTAATGTAACTTTAACTAAACATAAAAACACTGTGTTGTTACATCGACTGCCAGGTAAAAGTTGCTTCCTCGGCATAAAGGCTCCGTGCTGTACACTCTCTTGAAGGCAGGGCTCCCTGTAAAAGCTGCATCATAGCTGCTGTATTACACAACAGGAGAGCTGCCGACCTCATTAGCCTAGCTCCAAGCACTCAGAGCAACAGTCAACTTTCATACATCATCCTTCCACAAAGAGATCAACGTCTACGGTTACGCAACAGCCTCCAAATCACTATCTGGTTACTGAGGCATGATGATCCTGACATCAAGGAGACCATCAATCCCATCATGCACCGGGATGAGGATGGTGGGAGATGAAGCCAAATAAAATCACTTCATGTAACGTGACCCGGGGTCATGGGTACGGCGACCTTGAGACGCTGACGCAGAAGACATAAACTGACCTGTGACACCTATCAAAATAAAATCCCTCTTCATTACAGACGTACGGAGACTGGTTAAAGACTGTGCTGGAGTGCAGCGGTCACACGTTAATACAACTTCCTGTTTGGGCAGGAGGGTCACCAACATGGTAACGGTTTTTAACAAGACGTCATGGTTTTCTTTCTGATTTCAACGGTTTTCGCTATGAATATGTGATTTGATTTAATTATCAAATATCATGACCTATTACAATCTACAGATGAAGTGATGAATATGTAAAATTATAATCTATTGGACGTAATGATAATCTTCCTAAATACCTGCATTTAGTGTTTGTTATTTCCTCTCTCTAGTTTATACTTAGGTAAATACTACAGAATAATTTTAAATAAATGCTAAAAATAAAAACAAAAACTTGATTATTTTCATTGTAGGTCCCTCACCCCTACAGCTAGAACATGTACACTGTGAAGGAACAGAAAGCACAGGCCTAATTACGGAGCATTTTTGACTTGATCTTAATGGTCGATAAAGTCACATGACTGCCACAGTCTTCAGGGTGTCCCAGAAATGTCTGGACTCTATTTAACAGTGATCCACCACAGTCTGGACCACAGCAGTGGACAGACCAGGCCTGATGTCAACAGACAAACAACAAAGTCCTGGTAGAAACACATCTGGTGGAGACCAGAAGAATCTGAAGAAACAGCTGCAGCAGGAGCAGAGGCTGATCTGGACCACAGGTTTGACTCTGTCCTGGTCCAGGAAGGAGAGGGACCCGTCACAAGTCAGCGTGGACGCTGTCTTTACATAAGCTCAGCATGTGTGTTCTGTTGGAGGCATTTCAAGGTCAACTTTTGTCCTAGTGTTTTTCTTCCAGAACAGCTTGATCTTTTCTGCCTTATTTGACCTTTAATGCACCGGACATTCTTTCTGAACATACAGTTTCTGAGTGGGATAAAAAAATGTTGTCTGTTTTTCTGAAACCAACAATAACTAACAGCAGTGTAGTTGTCTCTTTACTCTTGGTAGTGACTTTGTAATAACTTCAAATATGTGAGGAATAACTTGATGAGGGGAATTCTTGACCAGTCATGCAAGTAGAAGATGTTTTTTAACTAACTAAGACGATCATCTCTTCAACATTTAGTCGTCTGACCTCAGCTCTACATGTCTGATAAATACCATCTGTACTCTGTGCCTGCGTAATGTTCCATTACTTATTATTTAAAACAAATGCTTGAACTGGGTGACAAATTGCTCGGACAATTCTAAGTAGAAAAAAGTTAGAAACGCTTTTAAGTAGCTAAATTGAGTATTTTGTACACATATAAAATCATGTTGGTTCAGCATAGTTATGCTGATATAGCATTACGTAAACAATGCCTTAGTTGAAATACCTGAAAAACTCTCCTGTTAATCCCTGCCACAGTTTTCCTTGTGTACCCAACACACATTTTTCACAGTGTCAGTTACCGGAGCCAGACCAATAAAAACCAACAGGCACTGCATTGTCATTTCATCAGGGAGTGAATGCCAAATCAGAAAACACAAAAATCAGACTGGTGCAGACTTTAAGTGGATTATTTGGCCGCAGTTTCACTCTGAGGAATTTGGTTGAGAACTAAGTCAGACAAACGCAGAGGTTTTTGTAATATTTGAGTTACAAGTTGCCAAATGAACAATGACAAAAAAAAAAAAGTCCATGGACAATCAAACTTTCTAAAATCATCGTCATACTTCTGTACTTGTCCTCGGCTGCTACAGCACCCCCAAGAGGAGAAACCTTCCCCACCACCGTTATATTTTTTAAAAAGAACTACTGGACTGGCACAATCGTTTCTTCTATTTTAGGTAAATGCATTTCATAAAACTGCACTGAACAAATCTGGGCAGATTTTTAACAGCCATGCACAGAAACACATGCTTTTGTACAGCATACACACACACACACTGATAAACGAGCAATCCTGCCTCACACCGTGACTAATCTCACACCTCACAGAGAAGCAGGGCTCTGCTCTTCATCTTCCTCCTCCTCCACTCTAATCAACATCAGTGGTGAAAAATAAAGAAATAGATGGTTAAGAAAAACATTCAGCCAAACGATGACGGTGACATCATGAATCACACTTCCTCCACAGATGACTCCTTGCATCTCCATGGCGATGATGGTGCAGTGAGCATTCTTTTTGGGGGTCGCCAACTGCAGCTTTGTCATCGCCTGTGCCTTCACCGTCTGCTGTCAGCAGCACGTTAGCAGCTACGTGCCGCTGACAGCTGGGCTGTCGTGGGTTTTATCAATGGAGATACACAGGGTACTGCATGGGGCTACTTTGTTTTTTACTTAATGGCTCTGAGAAGCAACACTGAGCAAAATAATTGGTGACATTCAAACAGTCAGCAGAGAAAACCATATGACTTAGCAACAATATATCATAAAAATAGCTCAAAGTCGGCCAAAAGATACATTAAATACAGTTAGGCTAATCAATTAAAAGCAAAATCGTTAGCCAATAAAATACCTTGGGTTACTGCATACTTGTCAAGAATACACTCTGTAGCCAAAGTGAAATAGTCATTGCTCTGCTTGAAGGTGAGTTGTATTTTGTGGGATTTATATGGGCTACATTAGGCGTACTGTAACTCATAATTAGCATCTATTTGTGACATTAGCATTAAAATGTTTTCCTTCCTCAAATGTCTCTTTTTTCCACAGCTCCAACAACAACATCTAATAACAGCTGAAAGAAACACAGTCCAGAGATAATAACAAACACTGACAAAATACACCAGAAAGAAACACAGTCCAGAGATAATAACGAACACTGAAATACACAGCTGAAATTGGTGCAAAATCTGCTTTTAAAACGTTTCATTTTCGCAAATAAACAGCATAGGAGGTCTGGACATGCAATAAAAAAAAATATAAACCACATAATTTAAGATTCCATTGTTTTGTTTGCAAACACCCCAGAAAACTGTGTCTAGTCAGGACATCAAACACGGCATCAAACGTTTGGCTCGCGGGCCAAAATGACGTTCAAAATTTGACAGCGGGTTGGATCTGTATTAGTTGGCTGTAGAGTGCTGGACTAAGTAATATAAGTAAATAAAATGTACAAGAATAAACGTAATCTTTAAAGATAATTTGGCACATACGACGTCTGCCACCACCTAGTGGCATCAACAGAAATTACAGTTGGTTCGTTGTAATACATGAAACAAGGATTCACATCAGTCTTTAACATACCTTATAACGGCCCAGATTACGGAGCCGAGTGGACATATCTGGTCCACGGACCGTAGTTTGCCCAGGTCTGCCTTAGAGGCTGACGTTTGACTTTGGCAAAATATTGTCTTTTTTTCCCCTATCAGACTAATCTGAAGCTTTAAAATAAAGGCTAGTTTCACTAACAAGATTATATACAGCTGGTATAAACAAGGAAGGGACGACGCTATAGCTGTAGCTGATGAACATGTATCCTACTGTACACAGGCAATGGATCTGAGTTTACTATTGACACAATGAGCGGCCATATTTGTTTTGAACTTGTCTCCCTCTGAGCTGCAGGGAGTTAAAAAGAAGCAGGGTCTTATGACAACTCTCTAAAAACAAATACCAGCTCAGATTTTTTTTTAAATGACAACTCTCTAAAAACAAATACCAGCTTAGATTTTTAAAAAAAATCAAATTGAACACAGGGATTAAGGGACCAGAGGTTCTGGTCACTACATGTAGTAACAAGTGAGTTCTGGGTTCCTTTTAGTGAAGCCCACGGCCCTGCTGCGGCTTTTCTACGCCCCTGTTCCAGACAATCATTCAGTAAGAATTGATATGCGAGTACTACACGTTAAAACACAAACGCACATTTCTCCATACCTCTGAGCTGAACGGGACGTGATGAAGTGAAAGGGTAAAAACCAAACACATGTGTCTAACACTATCCTCCCTGCAGTGGACACACACACTGCTGTGGAAGCAGAGCTGTTGCATAGCTCTGCTGGTTGCCACAGCAGATTTACTCAGGCGCGTCCACGCACACGGTTTGTCCAGGAGGCCACGCAGGCTCCTCCAGCCCGTCTGACAGGGTGAATGGTGTGAGGAGGAGGTTACGGCGTGACAACACGAGAGGAAACAAACTCCTACGGCAGGAGCAGCAGGGAGACATGGTGGATGGTGGTGGTGGTGAATGTGCCCGGAGGCAACCGTGGAGGGTCGCACGGTTCCCCCGGTGCTTACCTCTGCTCTTTACAGCCTTGATCCACAGAGGAGCCGGGTGTGGTTAGAGCAAATCTGCTACGTTTGGAGGCGGCGGGGACGAAGCGCAGCGGAATCCCATAGCGTGTGGGTCATCGGCTAGAAGAGGCGGACGTTTCAGCCGCTGCTGCGGCCGCTGGTGACGGAGCAGCTGTGAGCGGTTCGGAAAAATAAAGCAGGGAAACGAGTGTGTTGTGACAGAATGTGTTCGTCCCCGTTCTCCTTCTGCCTGTCACCTCAGCATCTCTCTCTCTCTCTGTCGTTTGCTCGCTGCGGATCCGTGACGTGACGTGACGCCTCTGTGATGATAAGCAGCAGCAGCCTTTTAGTCTACGGGCGCGCTCCCGACTCCAGTGCCCCTCGCAACAACTCAGCGGCGGAGTCGCGCATAAACCGGGTTTTAAAGCGCGTTCGCGTCCATGTCAATGGGAGCGCGCAAAGCATTATACCTGACGAGGAAATACTAAGCTTGTTAAAATGTGTTACATTAGGTTGTTTAGAACAGTTATTTACTGTGCAAAATACCCGAGATGCGGATTATGTAATATTATATCGAGCAACAAAGTTTAGGAGAGTGTTTTACAAAAGATTTTAGTCAAGGAGACTAAACTTCAGTCAACATAAAGCTTTGGGTGGCACCCAAAATTGCACGATAAACAAAATGTAAAATGTTTTAAACAAAATTAGCTGACGTATATCTAAAAACTTCACAAATATCGCAATATTTCTCACTAGTTGTAAAAAGAAACTGATAGACAGAGCTAAGCCTAAAGCTAAACAAATTGCTAAACTATAACCACAAGGAACCAGTTAGCAAAAATATAGCAAATAAAATGTAGCTACATTTATAGATAATTAATAATGACTTAAAAAAATTAAAGGGTAGATTTCGAATAGGTTGTCAAGTAGTCAACCTCGCATAACCCGACACCAATAGGTATGTTACAATAACTAATTAAAACTATATAGGCCTATATATAAAAAGTTAATAAAATCTGTTGTGATGGCGATGATCACAAGTAAACACATAAAAGATGTAGTTGTTTAAAATCACCTTGTGATCATATCTAGTGCGCAAATGTAAATGTATTACCGATGTAGCGTATGAGGAAATATCTCCGGTTTGGAATGACGCCTCTGTAAGACACTATACACGACACTTCTTCCTGTTAAGACCACTAGAGGGCGCCATTTAAACAAAGATGATAATGAGAGATCAGGACGCTAAACACTGAGATAAAAACAGTTCCCTTTGTAAAGTAGGCGTTAATCTTAATCAAAGTTGAGCTATTTTAATCACAACTTATGCACTGATAATTGTTCTTGAAGCTCCGACACGAATGTCATAGTTACACCCTTATTCAAACATTCCTTTGTTGGCCTTTGATGTCTCTTTTTTTCCTGCGCTTGTTTGTATAGTTCTGTGTATGTAAGAACACACCGACTGACATAGATAATACCTGGGGAGGAGTAAAAGTTAAGTGAGAACAGACATACATCAACCTGTCACTCAGCCAATCAAGTGAACTTGTGATAGGAATCTAGAACTCGGTATTAAAATGGTATCACAGTAGGAATGTGTCAGCCAGTCATTATTAACAATTATTGTAATTAATGGTACAGAAATAAATGTTGAGCGTGACTCCTGCGAAGATGTCATTTGTATATCAGCATGTAGCACCACATATACAGTATATCTGTGTATCGATGGTTGGAATAATAGCATGGCAAAGCAGCTCAGAGCCATTTACCCTTAAAATATCTGAATATCATATCCATGTGGATTTTCAATTACATTAATATATATAATGTGGATTTTCAATTACATTAATATATGTGTGTGTGTGTGTATCAGCACATAATACATGTGTGTACACCATAAAAAGACTACAAAAGGCGGCTACATGTTAGCTTTATGACACAGGAACACCAGAATTTACTCACTATTGTTCAACAAAAGCTGTTAATATCTGTCTCAGTAAATGCTGTCATTGTTCAACCCTTAGCAAACTAAATTATGTGTCTTCAATTTGTCTACTCCAACTGTACACAAAGGTGTGTTTGGTTGTTGACAGATACTCAAAAGTCTTGTTCGCCGAAAACCACGCCAGAGTGGGAGCTCTTGCTCATTACAGGATCTCGTGACGATCTGAGTGTGACGTTTCCCGCTGTGACCGGCTGTCTGTGCTGTGACCGGCTGTCTGTGCACTGCCGCTGCTGCCGCTGTCGGTGGTGAATGGTGGATGCTTGGCTGGTGGATGGAGCAGTTAACCGCACGCTATCTGTGACCTCACCTCGGCTGAGAGGACCGTGAATGAAGCCCCGCTCCCCCATGAAGCAGCAGCTCCTGCGGCCGCGATGGCAGCGACACATACGGTCTGAGTCGTTAGCCGTTAGCCATGTAGTTTAAATCCCCCCTTCTCTCTTTGTATGTGTGTAGTCAATGTTGCTGTGATTCGCGCTTAGCCATCCCCACCAGTAGCTAGCTGTTATTATTTCAATACACCTCCTCCACCCTGTGCCCGGGACAGACGGCGGCAGCTAGACCCCCTCTCTCGATTATACAGGAGGATGCTGAGGCTGTTCGTAGCGCTGGTTGTCCTCGGACTGGCCCTGGCGTGCATCACCTCCTGGGTGCTGGACGGCTATGACACGGCTTGGCACCCGAAACGGAGCCTACAGCACCGGACCGGTGATGGGGTCGGATCCAGGGGGAGTTCTCCTCCGTTCCCGGGCGGAGAGATGAACAACATATTCTGGTTCATACAGGTGAGTGGTTGCCCTCATATCCACTTGATATTTCTCTCGTTACCCCTGGTGCCCCGACCGGTCGCGGCAGGTGGCTGCATTGTTGCCTTCAGGTGTCGTCGGAATTATGATGTATACCAGTTTCCGACATACCAATGTGTCTTTACGTTGCAATTTTGCATGGGGATTTATGCTGCCACCATACGTTGAAAAAGAGAAGACATGCCACTTTGAAATTTGTAGTAAAATATATTTTTTGTAATACATTTTTTTATTTTCATTTTTATGGTACTCAAAATATGGTGTTTATTTGATTCTGTCCAATAGGACCTCTCAAACCAGTACTTGGAAATCAAGTCCTAAGGGTTTCAGTGGCACAGGACCACCAGGGGTTAGGGAGTACGAGTTATAGTTACTTTCTGTTACCTTTTCTTTTTAGACGTTAAGTTTGGTGGACCAGTCACATCACTTCCTGCTGCTTAATGTGTGAATGAAGAATTTCACGTAACGGCAGCAACTATTTTCTCGACAGGTTTCCGATTGAGAGTATTCTCTGTTGTTGTAGTCGGTCAACAGTGGTGTTTGAATGAGTGAATGATTGACAGAAGTGACACTGAGTGTGTGTGTGTGTGTGTGTGTAACTATAATTGTGGTAACACAGTGACAGGAAGTTCTCTGGAGTTTGACCTCTCACTGAGGCCAAACTCCAGACATGGTCTTAATACTTTTCCTGTTTTTTTTCCCCCTCCTATAATCCCAGACTATACTAAATTTTAGAGTTTAATTTTTCAGCCAAAAATTTAAAGTTTCCATAAAAAACAGATTAGTTATTGTTATAAACAAGTGGTTAAAAATGTTTTCTCACCTTAGGTTATTTAAAGTTTTCCATCTGTTCTTATTTGCAATGCATTACATTAGTTCATATGTTGGAAGTTCCAGATTTATATGATCGTTGGTTTATTTACCCACAGAATTCACCTTTGGTTTTACTACAACTGACGTTAGCTACGACAACACGTCAACAAAGAAAAGAAACAAAACTTCAGCCTAACTAAACGTGACGTTTAATGTCACTTATCTTTCTGTTATTTCTTCTTCTGAACCTGGTTCAAGGTCTCTGACATCCACATCAGTCGATTCCATGATCCCAGACGAATTCCTGATTTTGAAAAGTTCTGCACCGACACCATTGAGGTGATCAAACCAACTCTAGTTCTGGCAACAGGTACTGTTTTTTTCTACTCCTTTTTTTTTTTTTTTTTTGACGCCTGGCCTCCACACCAGTGTCTCACAGTCTCCGCCCTCCACTCCACAGGAGACCTGACTGATGCTAAAACAGAGAGTAAAGTGGGATCCCTGCAGCACGAGGTGGAGTGGCAGGCCTACCACAACGTCCTGAAGCGGTCTCGAGTGATGGAGCGCACTCGATGGATAGACATCCGTGGAAATCACGGTGATTATCTGAGGCTCTTTATCTTTCCTCCTCCTGTCTTCACTCAGAGACTCCAGTGGAAAGGCCACAGTGCTCTGTGAAGACCTTCTGAAGAATCCATTAACCGCTGCCTTTTACAAACAGGAAGTCGCTCCAGCCTGCTGCTGGTCACCGCCGTCTTCCTCGTTATTGGATTGCAAGCTTTTAAACGTTAAATATGATCTCGTTTCCTTGGTATTCGCTGGAAACAGGAGCTATTGATTGGATCGGCAGTGTAACTGACAGATATTGATCTCTGTTGATGTGTGTCACACAAACAACAGCCAGAAAATCTGATGCCTGGTGTAGATATGTTGTCCTGTGGCCTGGGCTTCAGGGGTCCGAGAACAACGTGGGCCTTTTAAAAATGGTTTAGCTTGTTTTATTTTTCACTTTTTTAAAATAACTTTTTTTTTTAGTATATTTTCATAAGTTTTTCATTTATGATTATTGAAATTACTACAGCTATTTTTTTTTCTATTTTTCTAGGATAACTTGTTGGTGTTGCTCTATTTTTGGCATTTATAGCTACATCTGGCTTTTTTGTGCCCTTGTTTTAGGCAGTTTTAATAATTGTTTGGCTAATGTAAAGGTAATTTCCAGTTGAATTTTTGTTTTGTATTTTTAAACATTTGTCGCATTTTCGGTTGACCTTTCAGTTGACCTTTTATTAAACTCCTCGATCTCGTTGTTTGCTTTTTCCTCACAGATGCCTTCAACATCATTTCACTGGAGAGTGTCAACAACTATTATCGGTAATAAAACACACACACACACACACACACACCGTTTAGTCCTGTACATAGTTCCGGCAGCAGTGTGAAGTCCATCCCAGTTGTGTTGTTCGTTCAATGGCTCTGAAACATGAGCAGACCCTTCCTTGCAGCCAGTATTCTCCCGCACCAGAAATAGCAGCAGAGCACACACAAAGAGACCGACTCTCTCTCGCTCTCTCTCTCTCTGCAGCTTCTGCAGATCGATCTTCCAGCTCCATAATATTCTTAATGTTCTTGTCATCCCGAGCGAGACAAAAGTCTGTCTCCTCCCGTGGTCTAATTTATTTATTTACCTAGAATGCATTCAATTATCTCAGGACTGGGACTAGGACTAGAGCTCCATTAGCTCCAGCCCAGTCTGCAGCGTAGCATCCTGTCGCTCTCCTCTTTTTCCTGTAGGAAGTACTCGGCTAATCAGAAGATCGGCTCCTTCCACTACGTTCACCGGACACCGTTTGGAAACTACTCGTTTGTCTGCGCTGATGCCACGCTGACTCCAGGACCCAAGAGACCGTATAATTTCTTTGGGATTCTCAATCAGGTAATGATGTCTGACGACCTCCCTGGTCCGACAATCACTGAGTGTTTAGTCGTTTATTAACTGCACGAGTTCTTGTCTGACCATATTCACAGTAGTGAACAACAATGTGCTTTTAGTTGATGTTGAATGTCATGGAACATGTGATGACAGTGTTTTGGTCT